CCCGCCCCGCTTGGCGTCCAGGATCAGTGCGATCCGGGAGGCACCCTCCCGGGCTCAGCGCCCCCGCGCCGCCCGCTCCCAGCGCGCCCCGGGTCATCTCGGCCGGACCCGGGTCGGGAGGAGGGGGCGGCGGCTGGGGCAGGGAGCGGGGATTCGGAGCCGGGTTCGGCGGGGAGCTCACCTCGAAGTGGGCGGCGGCGGAGGGGAAGCCGGGCCGCGCGTCCCTCGCCGGCTCGTACCTGCGGGCCGGGCAGAGCTGGGGCAGAGCAAGCCGCCCGCGAGGCTGCCGGCTGCACACGGACTGTGTGGGCGAGTGGGAGCACTGCCCCAACCCCTCCCCGAGGAAGTGCGCGCGGGGCCCGCCCCGCCCGGACCCCGCCCCCTGGCCGCCCCTGGCCGCGGGGTGGGGATCCCGCCCCGGCCCCGCATCCCAGAGGCTGGGGGCCAGACCCCGCCCACATTTCCTCTTTGCGCTGGAGTCCGCTCCAGGTCCCCTCGGCCGGCCCAGTCTAACCTGGCTCTCCCAAGCTTCCCGGGTGGCCAGGACCCCGCCCCCGTCCCCTCTTCGCTTTCGCCGTACTCTCCCCCTGCCTTCCTCTCTCTCACCGGCAGCCAGCGGGAGACTGCTCTACTCCATCTCAAGGAAGGGGTACAGGACCCAGCAGACCAAACCAAGGTCCATTAGGGGACCAAGAGTCCCCGCCTCTTCGTAAGTGCACCCCTCCCCCCGCTTCCAGCTTACCCCCCACCCCCACCCCGGAGTCACACCTAGACCGAGTTTGTAAAAGAGTACTTAATCAAGCCTGGGGGAGGGGGTGGTTTTGATTCTGCTGTCATGGCCCTCTCAGTGGGAACCAAGGTGTTCTCTGGCAACAAGAAGTGAAGAGAAGACCCCCTAACCCCGGAGAGGGCCTTGACCTTCAAAGCACTTGATTTCAGGGCTCTGAGTGGCAAAAACAGAAGTAACCAACTCCTTACCTCCAGCCGCGTCCTGGGACAGAGAAGTTTGGCCTTGGTTTCCACAGTGCCCAGGAATAGTTTTGACCTTTGAAGCCCAGGGGAGACCCTAATCCTTGGCCTCATGGTTTTTGGGTTTCTCAGGGAGGGGTGTGAAGCGTGTGCTCAGATGGGGCACTGCAGGGTTGGTGGAGGGAAGTGGAGGGAACCCCTCCTCCCCCACCTCTACAGTTTCCAATCCTCTGGCTTCTTCCCTGTGCCTGGGAGGGAGGACTGGTGCCTGCCAGGGACACAAGGCCCCTCCAGGTCCTTGAGGCCAACTCCCCTGGGATCCTCAGGCTTGTCACTAGGCATAAATAGCCTTGATGTAGAAGGGTGGGGGAGGGAGGAGGAGGCTCTGCTGTGCTGTTCGAAAAACAAGAGACAACAAACCAACCCTAGAAATAACCTCAGCATCTAGAGTGGAGATTCAGGTGCCCACAGAGGTTCTCCCATCCCCCAGGCTGGGTCCAGCCAAGTTCTCAGAGCAGAGACTCATTCCCATCCAGGCTGGAGCTCCTGAATTCCTTCCACTCCCATCTCTGAATCATATGCTTGCCTTCCTGGGTCCCAAGTCACCCTTGAGGCCAGGTTTCCTTCCAAAATCAAACTAATTGCTTTATTATTGTTCCTGATACCTGGACTGTAAGTGCCATGAGGGCAGGGACTAGGTCCTTCTTGTTCACTACCCCATTCCCAGTACTTACTCCGAAGTCGGCACATAATAAATGTCTGATGAATGAATGAATGAATGAATGGCACTGCTTCAGTTTCCACTCCTCTCTACCTCAGTTTGGACCACAGGTACCTGATAACCAGAGTCCAGGGAGTAAGCAGCCTGCTCACGGGTGGGCCCTTTCTCTGGGCTTTGTCTTGCAGGTATAGGTGACTCCTAGACCTGGGGAGGGCAGGGAAGATTGCCTGGTTGGAGTAGATGACAAGGCAGGGTCTGATCTGGGGTAAGGAGAGGGCAAAGATGAGCCGCTTTCAGAGAGGGAGGGCTTAAGACTGAGTAAGGAAGGTGACGGATCAAAGACAGAGTTGGGGTCTCTGGTGTTTCCTCACTGCTTGAACCTCTGCTGAACAGCCTTAATAAGAGCTGGCATGTCCTGAGTTCTTTGCACCAGTCCCTCCCTGCCTAAACACTTTGCATATATATATAAAATTTTAAAAGATATTCTTTAAAATATATATATTTAAAAGATTTTAAATATCTATATTTCTTTGGCAGAGAGAGATACAGTGAGAGTGGGAAGGAACACAAGTAGGGGGAGTGGGAGAGGGAGAAGCAGGCCTCTTGCTGAGTAAGGAGCCCGACACGGGGCTCCATCCCAGGACCCTGGATCATGACCTGAGCGGAAGGAAGACGCTCAAGGACTGAGCCACCCAGGCGCCCCAGCACTTTGCATACATTAATGTACTTGATTATCCCACAACCGTATGAAATGTGTATTCTTATCCCCATTTTAAGGATGAGACAATGGAGGTACAGAGAGAATAAGTAACCTGCCAAAGGTGACACAGCTAATAATGGCAAAGGCTGGCTTCAAATCCACACAATCAAATGTCAGAGCTCCTTATGCCATAAAGGGCTTAACCGGCAGGCCCTGCCGCCTCTTTTGTCATTCAACCTCTTTACACTTCAGTTTGCTCATCCCTTAAGAGTGCTTGACTCCCTGTCTCCCAGCATTCTCACGAGTGTTAGAGGCGAGTACACAGTAGGTATGGAGTATGTGGGACTCACTCGGCCCAACACATTCCCTTTCATGGTCCAGTGTTAAGGTTCTGCTGCTTGGATTGGGAGTCTGGAGGCCAGAGAAAATTAGATTTCTGGCTTGGGCCGGCCTGGGGGAGGGACACTGGTAGAGGGCAGGGGCTATGTGTCCTTTCCCCTCCCCATTTCTAGCTCTCTAGTGGGCTCACATTTCCCTTGGCCCAGGAGGACTACGTGCCCCAGGGAGGTCTAGGGATCAGCCACATGGACTCCCTGTTCCCATTTCCCATCAGTCCTCCCCCCCTCTCTAGGGAACAGGTGTGTCTCAGCTGGGGCTGGAAGAAGAGCCTGATAGCTGGATGACTAGCCTTGGGTGAGTGGGATCTGGCAATCCCTTCGCCCCTCAGGAAGCCCCCACACACCCTTCCTTATCTCCTGCTGGAAGAGGGCTCACTCTGGGTCACCTTGGAAGCATTTTTAAAGAGGAGCCCCCGAGGGACAACTGACAGGCCTCTCTCGGTTTCCTGTGGGTGCTGAATCACTCCGCGATGCTTGTGATCACAAGCCCTTCTTTCCCCAGTGAGAAAACTTCTTTCCTTCTCTGGGCGTATTGCCCACTCTTACCCACTGGGCTGCCTGGAGCCCCCGCCTGGCCTCATGGCTTAGCAGACACCCTCTTTCAGATTGCCCAGAAACACTGTTCTCATGACCCCAAGCCTCGAAATACTCTGTGGGTGTAGAGGGTAAAGTGAGTGACTTCTAAAGAGTATGCAGGGTTGGGGGTGGGTGGGGCGGGAGAATTAACCTGTTAAATGCCCTCTACAAGCAAGGCACCATGCTGAGTGTTAGTCATTGCCTCCTTCGGTTCTCACAAAAGCTGTATGAGTTGGTTATGTTATTATTTCTGTCTGATAGGATAGGAGGCGGGGCTCAGAGAATTTGACCACGTGGCCCTAAATCCAAGCTGATCGTGGTTGCCATGCAATTCAAACCCAAGGCTGATTCCTGGGTCCCCTTAATGGAGCTGGGGCTGGAATGGTGGATCAAATCACGAAGGGCCTTGTCTTTCAATGGTTAAGTCACAAATGAGGTGCAAGTTTGTTAATGTCTATGACCTGAGTTGGGCAAAAGGCTCAGATTGAGAGGCAGGAAAAAACTTTTCACATGGCAGATCTCAGCTACTTTCAGCTTTGTCATGCACACCCGTGTGCTGGACTGGCACCTCCGGGGACTGAGGAGAGGATTTCCTCGGAGAGCCTCAGTGGGAGGCGTGAGCTCTGTCACGACAAATGGGTGCAATTGCAGAACTCACTGAGGGTTGGCTTCATGTGATAGAAAAGAAAACCAAACACCTCTGAAGTGCCCTACTGTGCCCAACCCTCTCTCTAGCCTTATTGGTAGCTTTAGTAACAACAACAACAACCATTGCTCCAATTGATTGTGAACTCGTGTAAGGGGTGAACACAGCATTAAGCACTTTAAACGTATTAGTTCTTTTAATCCTTACAACAATTCCGTGGACATACTATTATTACCATCATTTTACAGATGGGGAGATCGAGGTTCATTGAAGCTAATTTTGCCTTGGCTGGTGGCAGTTAGGATCAGAACACACCTCTGTGGTTTTTGATCCTAATCGTTACATTGTACCGCCTCTGAAACTCATTCTGTCAGCCAGCCATTCCTTCAGGGTGTGAGGGACTCAAAGCTTTTAACTACCGCCGGGAGAGAACTCCTGCATTCAGCTGTGAGCCTCTCCACAGTCCTGTGAAGCAAGCAGAACACGCTATTATTATCCTTGTTTTATGGACGAGAAAAATGATGCTCATTAAAATCAAAAGACCTGTCAAAAGCCACACAGCTGGTAAGTGGCAGAGCCAAACATGGCTTTAAGTTCTCCTGTCTATAGGGTGCGCTTTCCCGCACACAATAAAAAATTCACACGACTCGTACCTTGTCACGCACTACATAAATCGGGTAATTGGAGCGGAGCGGTAGGTGACTGCGCATGCGCACACCCAAGCCCGGCTCAGCCCGAGGGCAGTGCCAGCCACGTGTTCCCAGGAGCCAACGCGGAGCCGAGCGCGAAAACGTGATCTCGGTACACGTGCACAAGTTCTGGCGAATGAGAACAGACTCCTGCAGAGTCACGGGACTAGACCCAGGAAACTACACTTCCCAGAGGCAGCTTGGGGCTGGACGTCTCCGCTGGAGGACGTAGTTCCGGAAAAGCAAGCGCCGGATAGGCTGCGGATAGGACGTGGGCTGTTCTAAGCAGCTGGCTCCCCGGCCTATTTCCGGTAGGATCGACGGACGCGTCCGCCGAGGGTTTGTGGGGCAGGCGTTGTCTACTCGAGTTTTTACAGGCGTGAGCAGACATGGCGGCGGCTTTTCGGAAGGCGGCTAAATCCCGGCAGCGGGAACATCGAGAGCGAAGCCAGGTAGGACCGCACAGGCCCCACGAGTGCTGGCCCGTGGCCTCATGTGCTACCCTCGCCTCCTCCCTCTCTCCACCTGCGGGCCCCGGTCCCTTCCCAACGTCTAGGGGGCACGTAAATAAACTCAAATGTATGCTAAAGACGCGGGCGTGCCTGGGGCGGAGCCTCGCGACTTGGCGAGGTCGGGGGTCGTCGTTCTCGCTCTAGGAGGAGCATTGGTTGTCTTGCAGAGTTTTCAGGGAGGGAGTTGGGTGAGACACTGTATAAAGCGCTTGACTGGGGGGGGGGAAGGTGAGGTCAGAGCGCACACGGGCTGGAACTGGAACCGCATCTGTGGGCCCTGCCCGCTGCACAGGGGGTCTGTGACCGAAGAGGTTGGTGATGATAATGTTTTTATCACCGTCTGGCGTGGGCATTGTGCAAAATCCGTGAAGCTCCGCCACATAACGTTTTTGTTTATGTCTCACACTGTAATGTTGATGTTTTCTATCCCCATTATACAGATGAGGAAGCTGAGGTCCAGGGAGCTGAAGTGACTTGCCTAGTGACAAACACCAAATTCAGGTGGATAAACAGTTGTAGGACTTTGGAGGGTGTGTCTGTGTTGAGAAGGTTGAGTAGAAATTCGTTTAGTATATGAAGAATCAGTGTATTCATTCCACTTTGCTTAGAAATCACATCGTAACCAATCCAGAAGGGCCCTTAGGGATATCTGGTCCAGCTTCATTTGGCAGTTGGGGAAGAGGGAGAAGGGCGCATGCAAAGTTGTGTTTCTGACTGATGGGATGGAACTAAGGCTTCTTGACTGCTGTTCAGTCTTCCTGCTTAATAGCATTTATCAGACTTTTATTGTGCACTTGCTGTGTGCTCAGTGGTGTGCTGGGAGCAGTGGTGAAATTTGTTTGCCACCTTGTCTGAACCTATTCGTGGACTTGTGTAAAACTAATGATAGAAATGTTTGTTGTGTCCAGAGCCAGAGAAAGTGCAGAATGCTTTACTGTCATTATCTCATTTAACTCTCACACCGTCTGGAAGTAGGTATTACTATTTTTTCACATTTGCAGATGGGGAAGCTAAGGCTCAGATAGGTTAACTTGCCCAAAGACATACAGTGTCACTGGCAAGCAGCAAAGCCAGGAATCAGGCCCCATGTTTTGAATCCAGAGGCCACTAAAAGATGAATTAAGAGGCACCTTTATAAGAGATGGCACATGAAGAATGCCAAATGAGGAATTTGAAAGCAAAGAGTAGAGATGATGAGGGAAAGCATCACGATAGAACTTGGTGGACTTGAAAGGCAATGATAATAGCATTTTGAGCACTTACTGTATGCTAGGTACAGCCCAACAGCTGTACAGGATCATGTCCTTTAAATCTGCAGCATGTCTGTGAGGTGGATATTATCCTCATTTTCCAGATGAGGACTCTGATGCTTAAAGAGATTGAATAGTGTGTCTAAAGTCGCAGTTGTAAATAGTTGATTTGGATTAACAGAGAAGACCGGGCTTCTTCGGCTGGCTGTAAGCATGACATGGTCATGTCTGAGTAGGAGTAGAGGGTCTTTGTGGGAGAGATGAAGAGAAGGCCATGCTGGTGAGGTGGGTGGACATGTTGACAGGAGCGCTTCATGTTTGGGTCAATTTGGACTTTATTCTCTAGATCCTTCACTGAGATGCCGGGTCTCCTGTAACACAGATCCCTTTGAATTAGTGTTTTTGTATTTTTTGGATAGATACCCAGTAGTGTGATTCCTGGATCATAGAGTAGTTCTATTTTTAACTGTTTGAGGAAGCTGCCTACTGTTTTCCACAGTGGCTGCACCAGTTTGCGTTCCCAGCACCAGTGTAAGAGGTTTCCTTTTTCTCCATGTCCTCACCAGCACCTGTTCTTGTATTTTGTTTGTTACTATTATTTCTTTTTAGTGTTGGTGTTATTTTAATTACTGAGTTATTTATTACATCATTTCAAGGATAAGAGACGTGACTAAAAATCTCATCTAAATTATTGGAGAAATTTAATCAGAGAGAGGTATTATGTACTTCTTCAAAAGTTGAGATTATTCAGAACAGAAGAGGATGTAGTCTTCGTGTGGTGAGGAAGAGCACAGACTGTGGCCCCATATGGAACGGGTTCCAGTTCTAGCTTTGCCAGTTATTCTGTGTTCTTGGGCAAGCCTCATTCCCCTTTTGGGAAATTGGGATAACAGTTGTGTGTTTTATCTACTTCTCTTGTTTGTTGTGGGGATTAAATGAGATTGTAACAAGCATAGCAGATTGTTTTGTAACAGAGTTGGTGCCTAATAACTGTGGCCTGTTACCGTGTGGGCAGAAACATCTAGCACAGACACTCACATGTATTAATTGCTCAACAAATAGCTTGTAGAAAGATAATGCCAAGATACAATCCTTGTGCCTTCCATACTATCCAAGTTCTGTGTCAGAAAAAGTATTTTTTTTTTTCCCAGAAAAAGTATTTTGTGTCACACTTGGCTTTTTCTGTCATATTTCTTACCAAATATAGAATAGTAATATGCTGGGTACCTGCTTTGTGCCAGGCCATGTGCAGACACTCCCACTCACAGAGGCTCATTTAATCCTCATGATAACCATGAGAAGCAGGTACTGTTACTCTCATTTTATAATTAGGAACCAGCAGCTCAGAGAAGTTAAGAGACTTGCCCAAGGTCACAGGTTGTTAAGAGGTAAAGCTTGGATTTGAACCTCATTCTCCAAACTAAATTTAGTGCCCTTGCCACAGTTGCCTCCCTGTTATTATGTTTTCCCTTCATAGTATTTTATAAACCCTTGGATTAAGTCTGTAGTAATTTTAGTACAGCTGGCAACTGCTTGCTTAGTGCCGAGTCATTGTTGCCTCTCTCTGTCCTTAATAGGCCAAGAAGCCTACTATGGCGGTGCTTATGACCTCTCTGGCGGCTGTGTGGTACCTCTCATCCTTGGGCAGAGCCAAGTTGGGGGAGGGGAGGGAACAGGGTAGCAAGTTGGCTCCAAGGACATGGATTTACTGAGCACTCCAGAGACTCTTGTTCCTGTCAGATGTCATGTTGATTTCAGTATGTTTTTGCTGAGGGAACTAAGCAGTTTTTTTTTTTTTTCTTTTGCCTTCTAGCCTGGCTTTCGAAAACATCTGGGCCTGTTGGAGAAAAAGAAAGATTACAAACTTCGTGCAGAGTGAGTTCAGTTTTCTGGTGGGGGTGCCGCCAAGAAAGCTGACAGCTTCCCTGCCCTGCAGCTGAATTGCTCAAGTGTCTGACAGGGGATAATTTCTTGCCATTGACAAAATGGCCAAAACTCTGGCAACCTGTCACATACTTGTCTGTGACCCTAACCTTTTCTCTTTGTTGGGCAGAGCATAATTTATTTAACTGTAGTTGCATTGTGAAATTTTTTTTTCTTTTCTTTTCTTTTTTTTTTTTTAATTATGTTGCTCTAGATAGTTTTCTCAGATTGGCTTTGATTTGCTCCTGCCTTGGTGTGTGAGCCAAAAGCTGAATCTTTTTTTTCCCTCTCCCTTTTCTTGAAATGCGAGATAAAATCTAAAATTCCAGTCATTGAGTCTCTTACATCACTGCGTGTGTGGTGTGGAATGAAGAGATGTGAAAGATGGATTCATAAGACGAAGCGTGGGTGATAATGAACTCTGAAAACATTTTATAAAACAATTACCCCCATTCTTTTCCTTTAGCACTTTATTTGCAGAATACTTTATAATTGTTTGTTAACCATGCTTGTCAGCTGAGGTCCTTTTGTGCTCCTGGTACAGATGGTGATGGATTAAGTGGATTGCTCTGCGTCCCAGAGTTTTTAAGGCTAATAATGATAACTGAGTGCTATTACTGCACCAGGCAGTGTTTTAGAAGACTTGCAATTTTTACACTTATGTATTCCTCCCAGTAACCTTCTGGGAGGCTATTATTATCATACCCATTTTACAGATTAAATTGAGATACAGATTGGTTAACTAATTTACCCACATTACTTAGCCAGAAGTGGTAAGAGTCCAGATTTTCATCCAAATAGTCTGGCTCCAGAGTCCATGATTCTAGTCCGTATGCTGTATTGCACTGTGGAGTTTTTGAATCTTACTTGGTCACTTGGTGCCCAAGTTTGCTTTAGAACCCTGTCTAGGGGTACCTGGGTGGCTCAGTGGGTTGGGCCTCTGCCTTCGGCTTGGATCATGGTCTCAGGGTCCTGGGATCGAAGCCTGCATCAGGCTCTCTGCTCATCGGGGAGCCTGCTTCCCCCCTCCCTCTGCCTGCTTCTCTGCCTACTTGTGATCTCTCTTTCTCTCTGTCAAATAAATAAAATCTTGGGGAAAAAAAGAGAACCCTGTCTAATGAGCTCTGATGTGTGCTTTGTTTGGTGTTTCCCTTTGAGGAGGTAAACGGCACTAAAATATGTGAGATGTTAATCTCAGGTGAGTTTTGGGATAGGAGAGGAGCCTACACAGACAGTAGCTCAACATCCGTGACTGTGGAGTCTGGATCAAATCTAGTCATTGCTTTGGCTTTTTTGGGTTTCATTTTAAGTAAACTTTAGATGCTTGTAAAGTTTGCTCATTGTGAGTTTTTTTGTTTTTGTTGTGAACCTCATTTAACCTTTTAGTGACTACCGAAAAAAGCAGGAATACCTCAGAGCTCTCCGGAAGAAGGCTCTTGAAAAAAATCCAGATGAATTCTACTACAAAATGACTCGGGTTAAACTCCAGGTGGGTGCCTAATGGATCAGTTGGTATTCTGAGCTCCACCTCATTAAAGAAAATAAGGATGGGGGAAGAGATGGAGAGGAAGGATCCTTGGCCTTTATTTAGCCCTTCTCTAGTTGGTCCAGGTGTTCTTGGTCCGTATCCAAGGCAAATTGCCCCTTCATGAACAGCATGCATTTCTGCTCCGGAATCTGAGTTGTCTTATGTCTGGAGCTGTTCTTAGAGTGGATGACAAGGTGCTAAATTGAACATGCATCTTGGGCTTAGTGTACTGGACCGCTGTTGCATATGGTATTCGGTTGTCTTTGTTCCAGTCATGAGCTATGTTAATGACTTATTCATGATTTTAATCTCATAGGGAATGTATGTTTTAAATTTGGATTTTAGGATGGAGTTCACGTTATTAAGGAGACAAAAGAGGAAGTAACTCCAGAACAACTGAAACTGATGAGGACCCAGGATGTCAAATACATAGAAATGAAAAGGGTTGCAGAAGCTAAGGTAATAATTGAAACCCGTTGTTCTGGTGTATTTTTGTTATTGAAGAAAAATAAAAATTCACTGGTATCAAATTATAAGTTGATTTCTTCTGGCATTTACAGATTAAAAGTGCTTCTTGATGGTGGTAGTGATTTAGAAGTATAGTCAATATGGTGGAGTGAAAAGCGTTCATGTTTGGAAATGAGACTTATTTAGGTTTGAATTCTGGCTTTGTCATTTATTAGCCCCATGATTATGGACAAATTAACTTTTTTGAGAGATTGATGCCTCATTTCTATCTCATGGGAATGTTAAGTGAGTTTTGTGGAATGTGTAGCCCAGTACCTGACATGTGGTTGGTGCTTGGTAAATTTTAGTTACCTTTTCCTTTAAAAAAAAAATGAGGCACATTTTTTTGGTGGCTCGTGATAATGATGTGAAATGGTTTAAACTTGTGCACGTTCATTTCTGATACCCTGGACGAACCCGATGTAAAATGAGATCATGTTCTGTATTCTAGAAAATTGAAAGACTAAAATCAGAGCTCCATCTGCTGGATTTCCAGGGGAAGCAGCAGAATAAGCATGTGTTTTTTTTTGACACTAAAAAGGAAGGTATGAAATATATGAGGGTTTCTGGGATTTCTAGCGTGTTGGTCTGTGTTTGGCATTACGTGGTGCCTTAAGAATTGTCTTGACTTTCAGTTGAGCAGTTTGATGTTGCCACTCACCTGCAAACAGCCCCGGAACTTGTTGACAGAGTCTTTAACAGACCAACAATAGAGACTTTGCAGAAGGAGAAAGTGAAGGGGGTTACCCAGCAGACTCGACTGAAGGTAATTTCCTCTGTTGTTTTTTTGAGTCTGAGCTTAGGAGCATCTAGGGTTGGTTGGTTGGTTGGTTTTTGTCACTGTATTGGGGATGGGAGTGGAGGAGGGTTCCTTGGGGTTTTGTTTTTGGTTTTGGGTCCTTGGTTTTTAAGATTGGGGAACTTGGGGCCTAATGGTTAGTAGTTTAGGGTCTGGTTTTTAGATTTGCATTATTTGAATCCCACCTCTCTCTCTGGGCTTTGTGCTTTTAAGGCTCGTGACTGATGCAGAGAGAGGAGGGGACACTGAAGAGTAAGGGATTTGGTATATTCTGATACCGAACCTTTAGCACCAAACATATATCTCAGAAAGTCTTTACGTGTTATGCATTTGTAACCAGAGTTTTGTATTGACTTTTCCTGATGGTGCCTTCCATCTCTGGAACTGGGTTTGTGCAGAAGACATGCTTTTTTCTCAAAGCCTTCTGGAGTTGAACTCTCACTTCTGACTGATTCATTTAAAAAAATGCTGTCAGTGTGTTTCAAGCAGACAGCTGTTCTGTTTTGATTTGAATCATTTACACCGCATCAGCTTTGCTTCCAATGTTTAATTTCACAGCAGTTTCTCTAGCTCAGAGGCAGCTAAACTTGCTGTGGTAATATAAATACTCCTAATTAGTTTGACTGTATTGGGTAATCCCATAAATTTGACAGTCTGTGTAATAAAGTGAAAACAAAAGCTGTCTGAAACCACTGCTGTGAGACTGTGCTAGAATTGGTGCATTGTTTAAATCTGAAGCCCAGTCATAGTCCCCTCTTGACGATAACACTTCCAGCTGAGGAGCTGGCTGACTAGTGTCCTCGTGATAACCCTGTTTGTCAATTAGTTGTATTTTCAGTTAGCTGTGTCACTAACACTTCTCAAGTGTTGTGGTAGTCCCTAAAGAGATTAGTGCTCCAAACAGAACGGTTCACCAGCACGCCTTTTGAGAAGTTGGGAAGGTTTGGCTCTTGCCATTTTTGTCGAGTGGTATTGTTTCTTTCCGTGGTTCTTTTGAGAGCAAAAATATGTTCATTAAGACTCCTGGTGGGTGATGGCAAGGGAATTTTTAACCTGTAACTTGGAGGGGTGGGCATCTGGGTGGGCTTCAGGAAGTCTGTGAACACTCTTTACACACTGATACTTTGTGTAAATGGGTATATATGTTTGCACAGATTTGTACCAACACACATACATACTTATTTCAAGAAAGAATGAAAAAAAAAAAAAAAGAAGAATCCAGAGCTTTCATGAGCTTCTCAGGGGTTTATAATTCCCCCCAATTTAAGGACCCCTGGCCTTTGAGGGGTATTTAGCAGGGAGTGTTCTTGGGTCGGCTCTCACTGAAAAAGTCCCTCTCTCTGAATTCTATGGTTCTCAGACACCAGCACACTGGCCAGTGGCCTTTCTGTCCTCTCTTCACATTGTGTAGGGTTTCCAGGTCTGGCTCATTCCTGTATTGCCTTAGGTAACCGGGACGCTCACATAGAGGTTGAACAGCTTAGTGTAGTAGTGGAAAGATTCCTGGGATCTCTGAGATTCTCGGGACAGTCCTGACTCTGTTCCAGGTGAACCACGTGTCCCTGGGCAAGTCTCCAGGGTTCTGCTTAGCTCTAGATTGTGGTGTTCCTAAAATGGACAATTTTATAGTCCCTTGTTGTGTTGATTTTTGAGTGAGAAGGGAGTTGATGAAACCTTTTATGCATTGGGACTTAAGTGGATTAAAAAGCGGGTTTTTTATTCATTTTTATCTTGTTCATTTTATTGAAAATGTGTGTGTGTTTCTTCCGCAGCGGATAGCTAAAGAAAGACAAAAGCAGTATAACTGCCTGACACAGCGGATTGAACGTGAGAAGAAATTGTTTGTTATTGCACAGAAAATTCAAACACGAAAAGATCTTCTGGTGAGGAGAGAGAGCCTGAGGCCTTCCTCCCCCCCCCCCTTCCTCTTGTAAAGGTCTTAACTGAAACTGGATTTCAGCTGTGTGTAAATCAACACCAGTGAAAATGTCTGCTCCTCAGGGGCAGTGGTTTGAGCCAGTGTCTGTTACTCTGACAGTGTTGAAATGTTCCTTGATTAAGAAGGGTAATAAGGGGCTTATTAGTCAGTGCTCTGGAACAGCAAAGGGTAGGATCAGGTAGCACATGAACTTTATAGCTTGTGAGCAGCTACGTGTAACATTTAAACAGGTTAACAAAACAGTGCGTGTCACTCACTGGTGTTTAAAAATAGACAACATTGTGTAGTTAAAGAGCACAACTAAGGATTATGTGGCGTCCCGTTCATATTCTTATTGTTCCTTTAAATGTCAGATTCTTCAGCTTTGCAGATCCTTCAGATCTGCCTTTCTCAGCTAGGGTTCTGTGAGAATATGCCCTACAAAAAAATGATTTGAGTCCCTCCCCTCTCCGTTTTTCCAAGAACTTCTACACACTGGTAGCATTCTAGATCCCCGGGGGAGAAAAGGATTCGTTGTGTTTGGGGATACTTTGGGGTGATGGCTTCGTCTCTCCTGCACTTGGAGAAGGACTGAACTAGGGCCTCTCTAATAGGTAGTTTATTAACCTTCTTGTTTTTCAAAACCCTCTCCTGCTGTTTACTGGTAACTTTTTTACTCTTTTGTAGGATAAAACTCAGAAGGTGAAGGTGAAGAGACAAACCGTGAACTCTCCAGCTATTTACAAATTCCAGTGTCGTCGAAAACGTTGAAGTGGCGTAGATAAGCTTTGTCATTCCACATGGAAAATAATTGTTTTTCCTGACTTCGCATTCCATTAGTCTGAATGACATGGTTTTTCCTGTTTGTGACTTTCATTTATTACAGATCTGGCATTTGATATTTTTCTGCGAACAACATTTAAACGCTTTCCCTTGTCTTACTTTTTTTGGGGTATGAAATCATGCCCCAATATATTTTTATATACCTATGTATTTTCTTCATGATGACCGTTCTATAATCTCATTGTGACAAATTTGGAAAAAAATGAATTCATCTCTAACCCCAGTACTTACTGAAGAACACCAAATAGTTATTAGTGCTAGGAGCTAGGGCATTGGAAGTGAACAATACTGTGAATGTTCTGCTTTATTTCCTCCCTTCTCTAAAGGCATGTACTGTTTTTTTTTTGTTGTTTGCTTTATTTTTGTGTTCTGTAAGTTATAGCAAACAATTTTATACCTTTTTTACTTAAGTTAGCCCTTCCATTTTGTTACATCACTAAATTTTTAAAAAGTAATATATGTCCGTAGTAAAAATTAAAATAAATATTTTTATCATTTATTTGCATGTCCTATCCAGTGGGTAGACTGATTTTACCCTCCTTCCTTCTGTGTTTATTGGCTATTCAGGTGGCTTCATAAATTAGCCAAGGAGGAATTTTTTTTTTCTCTTACACTTTATAGCTACAGATAGAAACCTTGGAACTAGGAACCCACAGTGGCACCTCCTTATTGATGAAGCTCAAACAGACCAGGCCTTCTGTTCCTGCCTTCTGCACTTCTGGCCAACTCATGATTCCAAGGCTATAAATGGCTTGGTTCAGGCCTTTGCCCTGGCGATAGGGACTCCAGGGCATGTGTAGCAGCTTTCTTCCCAGAGTCTCACCCCTCCCTGCCCATGGAGGGGAGGTAGGCTGAGGCTGTCAAGGCAGGGCTGAGCATGCTTAAAGCGAAGGTGGGAGGAGCAGGGTTCTGGGAGGCTTGCTTACACTTCACCCCCTGGAGGGGGAACAGCTGTGTCTGGATTTTAAAGAGTAAAAAAAAAAAGAAAAAAAAATCATCCTTAAAACTTAGTATGTTCTTATGACTGCTAGGCTCCTGTACAAAGTGTAAAATGAAAGCCTGTTTCCTCAGGGTATACCCATTGGGGTTTAGATCTGGGATCCCTGGAAAATAGGAAGAGGGCTGGGGAATAGAAGCTAGCAGCTTTTGCCTTAAGGAAGGAAGGGCTTCCCAGTCTGTGTGTTTCCCTCTTGGGGGGTGGTGAGCTAAGTACATGTTGATGGTCTTACGACATGAAGGATCTGGGGGACAGTTCTGAGCCAGGGAAGGGATTTATCCCGTGGGTGTTGGACAGAGGGGTGGGCAGACTAAGCAGAAATCTGTTCTTGACACAGAACAGCTTGGTACTGCTGCTCTGACTATCCCTTGTCCCTGCTGGGTAGGAGGTAAGGAGTACACCTGATGCCTTTTTGTTGGAGTTTACATTACACAAAGGTACTTGATCGGGTCTCCCATTAATAGATACACAAGATGCAGCTCAGACCTCATAAACACAGGTGCATGCACATCTGTGTACCCTCTGGTACACGAACATGACTCTTGTCCACAGGTGACACACAGGGTCCTCACATGTTGCGTATGAACACAGTGATACCTGAAGAGGCATGTGCACAGGCCAGATGGGGCAGGAAAGCCCGTCCTCTTGGAGTACCGCAAGTGCCAGGTTGGAGGCGGAGAACTGTGAGGGGATAAAACTGGGTGTCCTGAACTGCTCTTATACTGAGGGCTGTCTCTGAGGCTCTAGGAGAGAGTGGCTTTCCTTTGTGACTAACCCAAGACATGCTCCAGCCTCATGCGTCCTAAAAACAGGCCAGGACTTCATGCTTTGGTGCTCGGCAGGGCTTCAGACTCCTGGCTCATTGCTTGGGAAGGGGAAAGACTATTGTTTCCTTAGGATCCACCCCTCCAGGCCCAGCGGCTGGTTTGGGTTCTTGGTGGAGCCTGCTGTGGCTAGGCCAAGGGGAATGAACGTGGGCAGTCTACGGAGGTGGAAAGCATTTCTCTGAGTCAGAACTTGTGTGGTTCGGGTCTCTTGTACAAATGAGGTCTCCAGAGTGTCAGCTACTTTAACTGCTGTGGGACACCCAGGTCTCCCCAGTAGAGAACCCAGCTGTCCTGCCTTAGTTCCACTCTGTTGCCACTTCTTAGAGCCCTTGTGACTCAAGCAGGAATGTGTCAGGCCCTAGCTTTATTCTTGGATTATATCTTTTTTTAACTCTGGAGGGAACTGATTCTTGGCAACAGGGTAGGAAAAGGCCCAGTAGGTGGAGCTGCTGCCCCTTTGCTGGGGTTATTTCTCTGGGTGCTGGTGTCTGCCCTCTCAGCACTCTTGGCTTCTGTTGGAAGCATCGCGTGCTCCATTGGTGCTCAGTGCCTCTTTATTGGATTTAATGCCATGGGGGAGAGCTCTTGGGAAAAAAAATTTTCTCCACGCTTGCTCCACCACTTTGAGATTAGTGTGGCCCCAAGACAAGGCCTGGGCAGGAAAGGGCTTTCCCCTCATTTCTAGTGAGACCTACGGAGGAGGCTTATCGTTGAGTCCCACATTGAGGGTGGTTCCACCGGGAAATGGTAGGGGTCTCCCCATGTGCAGTTGTGAGAGTTTGTGTCTGGCTCTCCCCCCGCTGCTGGCTGTGGGGCAGTGAACAATTGGAGCTGCACGTCCTCCAGCAGGGAAGGCAGCCAGCAGACGCAGACTTGCTCTGCCTGCCTGTAGAGGCCGGTGAGGCCAGGGCCTGTTGAGACTTGCACTGGTGAGGCAAGTGGGTGTGCGGTGCCGGCCTCCTTCCTCAAGCTCTCCCAGCGCGGCCATTCACAGCCTCATGCACAGGGTGTTGGGCAAGGGGGGGTGTAAAGCTTGGGTGGGAGTCTTGGCTCAAAGCCCCAGGTGAGTGGAGGAACTGGGGGTGGACCCGGAGTACTACTGGGGCTGAGCCGGGGCTGAGCCGGCAGGTTTCTTGGGCTTGGGTGGCTGCCTCCGGGGGTCAGAGGGTTTGGGTGGCTGCCTCCGGGGGTCAGAGGGTACGCGCTCTCTCACGAAGCCGGTCACTGGACCTCCCTGTTGGCGGGGCTCTCACCCAGGTCTGTGGGTCTGTCTCAGCAGAAAGTGCATGGAAGGATTGGGGAGAAGCTTCGAAAGCCTGAGAGGCAGAGCCGGCTTTCCCAAGTCCGCCCCGTAGAGTGTGGAAGCTCAAGAGGCTGCACGGGTCATGCTGCTGCTGCTTTCCTAAACTGCTCCGGTTGGAGAGGGAAAAAAAAAAATCTCTCCTGCTTCTTCAGACTGTATGGAATCTCTGTGTTCCTCATTCCTGGATCCACCATCATTACATTTGGAGAGTTCTGTCTCCTCTGTATCTCCCGTAACCAAAGTTTACCTAGTTGTCTCTGTCCAGTCTTGTCTGCTTCACTTGATAGCTCTGATAACGATGAGAGCCCTTTCCTCTCGCGTGTCGGGGAACACCGTGTTTGGTGCCAGGCCTGTGGTACAGTCCTGAGTCCCCTGCTTTGGTGGTAGTAGACATTGGGCCAGAACAGAGCTGGACCTGACTATTTCTAGGCAAGAGGAGTTTTTCTGGGGACTGCTGTGTTTGGGGTTAAGGGTGGGAAGGAAGCCCTTTCCATTCCTCCTGTTATCTGTCACCTGATGGCCATGCTCAGATCATAAGTGTTAATGAAATTGTGGTGCCCCGGAGGCAGCTGGGCAGCCCCCCGCCCGCCCCCCCGAATCAGCCTGACTCATTTTTAGCTTTCTCCCAGTTACCCCAAAGGCTTCTCTTTTGAGGTGACAAATGTGGGGGGTTGGTTTCAGGTTTCATGTTTTTACATTACTGAGTGGAAAAAAAACCTTTCCAAACCAAAAACAAAACAAAACAAAACAAAAAACCCCAGCTTTTACAGCAGAAACAACATGTCCCAAGAGCACTGGAAATTTCCCCGTCCCCTCCTCATCTGCTCAGCCAGAGACCAGTGACAGAGAGGTTAAGAGGTGGGGGTTGGAGCTAGGGCGAGTAGAGTATTGGGGACAGCCCCTTTGGAGGTGGCAGCATTTGCCTTCCTGCTTAAAGGCAGGGGAGAGCCTTTGCGGAGCCCTCTGGCTCTGGAGCCAGTAGTATTGCCAAGGGGTGGGGCCGGTCAGCTCAGGAGTGGCAGGGGTTGGGGGAGGAAACCATCTCACATCTTTAGCTAATTTGATCCCAGGAGGTTAGGGCAAGGCCCTCCCTCAGAGAGGGCTCTTTAGGTGGGGTGGTAGGTGGGAAGCTGCAGGGTCCATCTGGCACACGGAGACTGGGAGTCCACCTCCTGTTACTGGCTGGTAGTATTATAAACCACTCCCTGCCTGACCCCCGACAGGGGCAGATGGCCTCCATGGCAGATGGAGACTAGGCCAGCGATGGCTGGGTGAGCTTTCCAGTCCCAGCCTGGCCTCTCTGGCTAATAAGACAATTGAGAGGGAAAGTGACAGGGCTAAGTGTGTGTGTGTTTAGGAGATGGGAGTCCTGGCCTTGTTGAGTCATTCTGGGGGAGAGATAAAGAGGGAACCTCAGATGAGATCATTTGGGTTTTGGGGGCACACCCAGTTTCTTGTGTAGAAGTGGCTCGGGGCCCTGACACTGCCCACCCGCCCGGGCTCCCAGAGCTGCCCCAGTTAGCTCTCAAGTGAAGGGGATGGTCCCCAGGATGGGAGTCTGCTGCAGCTGGAGCCTGGTGGACTTGAGGCAGACCTCCTGCTAGGTCCCCAGAGCTGGGCCTGGGCAGCGGCTCCTCCCAAAGGACGCGCCCGTTTATTATGCGCTCGGGCTCCCTCACTGCGCAGGCAGGCAGCGGCCTTCATTAGCGGGGGAGCTGGGGTCTGTTTTGGCTGCCTCATCAGCATCAGTGAACTGCGTCCCTGCGAGATTTGATACAATTTAATTAACCTAATTAAAAGCTCTGATTGCAGAGATGATTGGGGTAGCGCCAGCAGCGACTGCATATTTATAATGAGCTGCAAGGTGTGGGACCGCAGCCAAACGCCACGCATCCTAATGAGCGGGAGCTGAGAGCCAGGGAGCGGGAGAGGGAACGTTTATTTTTGGCAACAATGCCCAGTTCCTCCCTGCTAGGGAGTCAGAGACCCAGGGAGTGAAGATGGACCTGCCCACTGA